ATTTTATTTCTTCCTAAAAATCACCAAATATGGTGATTTGGAGATGTGTAAGTACTTAATGCTGATAGCGTTTTTTATTTGTAAGTATGTTTTTGGCTGTGGTTCTGATTAGCAACCTAAAGAACCTATTTTTACCTGTTTCTTTGTATTTTATATATATATATATATACATATATACATATATACACACACACATATGTGTGTTGTGTGTGTGTGTATTGTACTTAATGCTGATAGCGTTTTTTATTTGTAAGTATGTTTTTGGCTGTGGTTCTGATTAGCAACCTAAAGAACCTATTTTTACCTGTTTCTTTGTATTTTATATATATATATATATACATATATACATATATACACACACACATATGTGTGTTGTGTGTGTGTGTATTTGGTTTTCTGTTTTTGACAGAAAAGAATTGTTGGCTGTGGACATTGTACATCACACTTGGCCTTGACAAATAGTGACAACCTTTTGTGTACTGTCCTAGCTTTAATTAACATTGTCACTCACAATGATGTATCTTCCACAGAACTTGATGCATTAGATGCCAATGATGAGTTGACCCCTCTAGGACGAATCCTGGCTAAACTCCCCATTGAGCCTCGTTTTGGAAAAATGATGATAATGGGATGTATTTTCTAGTAAGTACTTTTTATTGCTGATAAAGGTAGAATGGATTTCATAAAAGGTAGAGAGAGGGGAGAAGAAAAAAGTTGAAAAAATGTCATGTACATACACAGAACCATGAAATCAGAACGGTTTATATGGAATATATGGTAGTTTGCAGAGGCCCTACTTGGGGTTAAGTGCTTGTTTTATATCATAGTTTATGGTAATGTGCAATTACTGTCAGGACATTAATTTTCCCCTGTTCTAAAAGATGTAAATTTTTTTTCACTGTAGTATCAATGCCAATAAAAGCAGTATCCTAACCTATAAAAAGACTTTGATCTTCCTTTGCAAATCTACTGGCAATAAGAATATGATTTACTCTAACTTTGTTTCAGCGTGGGAGATGCTGTCTGTACCATCTCTGCTGCTACCTGCTTTCCAGAGCCCTTCATCAGTGAAGGAAAGCGGCTGGGCTATATCCATCGGAATTTCGCTGGAAACAGATTTTCTGATCATGTCGCTCTTTTATCGGTATTCCAAGCTTGGGATGATGCCAGGTATGGGCTTGATGTGGAATTGACTGTAAGAATTCAATGAGCTGCCTTCAAGTTTGTAATCTTTTTAGTTTGCTAAGCTTTTGAGAACGAATTCTGTTTTATTTTAGGATGAGTGGAGAAGAAGCAGAGATACGTTTTTGTGAGCAGAAACGACTCAATATGGCTACACTAAGAATGACTTGGGAGGCCAAAGTTCAGCTTAAAGAGATTCTGATTAACTCTGGCTTTCCAGAAGGTAAGGCATCTTCCATTTATAATGTATTTATTTCTGAGCTGGTCATGATGGCACTCACTTACAATCCCAGCACTCAGTGAGACTTAGTAAGCAACCAACATTGAGAATCTGATGCCAGTTGATGTGTGCAACTAAAATAAACCTTGTAACCTGTAATGCTGTATCAGAAGCAGAATATTTAAGAGCCAGTAATGGAGCAAGATTTTAAGTTTTAAAAAGTCATGAACTAAATAGTTAACCTTTTGTAAATTAGCCAAATTATTTATTCCTAAAATCTAAGGAAAGGAGGAAAGAATAATTTTTTGTATTAGGATCTTTATAATGATCTTGAGGTACAACTTCTACCCCATTTTATAATGAAACTGATACCGACATTTCAGTTACTTGTATAGATTTATTGAGAAGTAAAAGCTTGTAAAGCTAGAATTGGTCAATGAAAAAATACCAGATTTTCATTGAGTGATAAAATTATTAAAGTGTTCTGCATGAGAACAGTTCACATTCTAGTGATTTTCCTCTTATTGTTTTATCTCTTTTTTTTTTTTTTCCAAGTAATGACTAAGAATAAGCAGATAGCTTTGATTTTTATCTTGTTGGGAAATAAGTGGGTTTAAGTGCATTGTTTGAGAAGAGGGCTTAGGGGAGTCATTTCTCCTAATTCTCATTCTTTTGGGGGATGGGTGGGTAGGGAATAGGGTCTCACTGATAAGCTCTGGCTTCAAATTCACCGAGATCTGCCTGCCTTAGCATGCCCAGTGCTGGGGTTAAAGGCATATGTCTCTCTTTCCAGTTATTACCAAGTTGTTGCTTTTAAAAAACATTTCTTTTTTCTTTACAGATTGTTTGTTGACACAAGTGTTTACTAACACCGGACCAGATAATAATTTAGATGTTGTTATCTCTCTACTGGCCTTTGGTGTATACCCCAACGTATGCTATCATAAGGAAAAGCGAAAGATTCTCACCACTGAGGGTCGTAATGCACTTATCCACAAATCATCCGTGAATTGTCCTTTTAGCAGCCAAGACATGAAGTACCCATCTCCTTTCTTTGTTTTTGGTGAAAAGGTATGAGGGTAACCAAGGTGAAAAATTCCAAGTTGTTACTGTATAACTACTAATTATGTAGCAGTTTTTGACAGTTTTCCTTTATCTGCAGATCCGTACCCGAGCCATCTCTGCTAAAGGCATGACCTTGGTCACCCCGTTACAGTTGCTTCTCTTTGCCTCCAAGAAAGTACAATCTGATGGACAGATCGTGTTTGTAGATGACTGGTAAGAATGTTCAAATGTGACCTCCCAACAATTTTCAGATTTGAGATTTTTTTTTTTTTTTAGGATTAAACTTTGATTTTTCTAACTTGTGAATTAAGTAAAATTTGATAGCTTTAACTTAAGGTCTTATTTAATGTGTTTTCTTAGGAGAATAGTAAATGTTGGTTGTGTAGTGCCTCAAAGTTAGCAGGATATATCTTTTTAAAAAGTTTTTCTAGGTTAATATAGATTTTTTTTTTTTTTTTCTTTCTATTTAGGATCAGACTACAAATATCCCATGAAGCTGCTGCATGCATCACAGCTCTCAGGGCAGCCATGGAAGCTCTGGTTGTTGAAGTGTCTAAACAACCAAATATCATCAGCCAACTGGACCCTGTAAATGAACATATGCTAAACACGATCCGCCAAATCTCTAGGCCCTCAGCTGCTGGTATAAACCTTATGATTGGAAGTGTCCGGTAGGTATCTTGTTAACTTTATTTACTTTATGTCTCACACCATACAGGAATATTTGAATGTTAATCATATGCCCATATGGCCCTCATTGAGGTTTACTGAGTCCCCCCATCCCCAGCATTTTAGGCATTTGTTGAATCATTTGGGGTTTTTCTTTTTTTGGTCTGAGACAGGGTCTCCCTGTAGCCCCAGCTGTCCTGGAACTCTGAGGTTCACCTGCCTCCTGAGTGCTGGGATTAATGGCATGCGCCACCATTTGTAAAATTGCAGCATTACTTTGTAGCTTTGATAATCCCCCTCTAAACATCATGTTATACGGATCCTTATCATTTAGCCTGACCTATTAATGCACTGTATGAATCCTGGCTCCTTAACATGAGTAAAGAAAGTAGGGATAAATCAGAGAAAGCGATATGTAAACTGAGGAAAGTAGAGTGGGTTTGGGTTTTTCAAGTTTCAGCTAAAGATATTTTTCAATGACCTATACTTGATAAAACCATATACTTAGAGCAATACTAATACTGTTTTTTTGGGGTCTAGTGAAAAGCACTAAAAGTGACTTTTGGTGTACATAGGTCTATTTGGCTAAAATTGCTTTAATGGGATTATGAGTAACCCAGTAATTAATGTTTATCATGTACAAAAGTCTAACATTGGTCCCCAGTATTACACAGCTAAAGTGGCAGTTTTGTGCTTTTTCCTAGGTATGGCGATGGTCCACGCCCTCCCAAGATGGCCCGTTATGATAATGGAAGTGGATTTAGAAGGGGAGGATATGGTGGTGGGGGATATGGTAGCGGAGGATATGGTGGTGCCTATGGTGGGGGAGGCTTTGGAGGCGGCTTTGGAAGTGGTGGGGGAGGCTTCGGAGGCGGCTTTGGCAGTGGTGGGGGTGGCTTTGGCAGTGGTGGGGGTGGTTTTGGTAGTGGAGGTGGTGGCTTTGGCAGTGGAGGAGGCGGCTTTGGTGGTGGCAGAGGTGGAGGCTTTGGAGGAGGTGGAGGCTTTGGAAGTGGTGGGGGCGGTTATGGCGTTGGTGGAGGAGGCTATGGAGGTGGAGGTGGTGGTTATGGAGGTGGCAGTGGAGGATATGGAGGTGGTGGAGGCGGCTATGGTGGTGGTGAAGGTTACAGCATTAGCCCCAACTCTTACCGTGGAAATTATGGCGGAGGTGGTGGTGGAGGCTACAGAGGAGGTTCCCAAGGGGGCTATAGAGGCAACTTTGGTGGAGATTACAGAGGATCTAGTGGAGACTACCGGGGATCTGGAGGAGGCTTTAGAGGATCTGGAGGATTCCAGCGAGGGGGTGGCAGGGGTAACTATGGGGGTGGTTATTTTGGACAAGGAAGAGGAGGCGGTGGTGGCTATTAGACTCTTGTTATGTCAGTGCCTATGCATAGACAGTTAAAAATAACATTTAAGAAGCATGCTATGTGTTTTTTCCAAGACGTTTATTTGCACCAAAAAAAAAAAACCCCAATTTCCACCTAATCTGTAGTTCATTGTAGTTTCAAGCAACAAAGAATATAGATTAGTGATTTTGTTTATATTATGTAATGTAAAATATGACCTATTATACAAGTATCACACCATACAGTTTGTATTTTTTCTTTAATGAGTAAAGGTTTGCCTTTTAAATTAACTTGACATTTTCTTGGTTTTCATTTAATACAGTAGAAAATAAAGTATTACATTAAAAATGGTCTGTGTAGTTGATTGTCTTACCTCGTTTTTTATTTTGGTGTTTCTGAGAGTCTTCCTGTAGCCCCAGTTGGCCATAAAGTAACCTCCAGAATGCTGGGATAAAAGGGCATATGTCACCATTCACACCTGGTTCTCAAAATAGTTCTACAATGCCATTGACACAAACACACACACACACATTTGTGTGTGTGTGTGTGTGTTGAGTGTTTTGCCTGCAAGTACACCTATGCCAAGCAAACCCAGCAGAGGCCAGAAGAGAGTTGGATCCCCTGAAATCAGTTTTGGTCAGTTGTTAGCTGGCATGTGGGTGCTGGGAACCAAGCCCCCATGAGCAGCCGAGTCAGTGCTCTTAACCACGGAGCCATCTCTCCAGCCTTTTATATGGTACTGTTTCAAAGGAAGTATACTGGATTGTATGGAGACTTCTAATAGAATAAATTGCCTTGGAAATAGTTTTTTTTTTTTTTTTAAGGCAGTGTCTCAGTATTTAACAATTGTTGGTCTTGAACTTTCAGTGATCCTCCCTCAGTTCCGAGTATTGGGATTACAGACACACCTATTGTACCTGGCTTGAAGTCCTGTTGTAATACTAGTCTGCCCAGTCATTTAGTTACCTCAGTTGACCTCCATTTCCAGTATGAAAAAAGAAAAAGAACAAGCTTACAGAAGTCTGCAACAAAGGTTTTGTGAAGGCCGATTGGTGTATACTTGACCAATTTATATTAGAATTCTTAGAGATGTTTTGGTACCTTAAGTTTTTCCAGTGAAATCTTTTGGAACTGCAGCTTCGTTACAAGGTTGGGGAAGGAGGAAGAGGAAAATTTCAAAATTCTAACAAATCTTAATGCTTTGTGCATGCTCTAGAGGTGCTAGAATGAATGTAGGGAGCAAACCACTGATCCTATAGTCTGAAGTTTAGCTGGGAGAAAATATTTAGCCAATGGTAGGAAAACAAAGGAAGATGATCAGTGAGTTTGATCACAACAAAAGCTATTCTTGCTCATTCTGGAAGACTGATCTTTACCCAACTATTATTTCTGAAGCCAAAAATAGGGTGGAAGGAAATCCCTGCTCAAAATAATGATCCTAGTAAAGTTCCCATGAGTAATCCTAGGTACTATCATAAAAAGTTCATGCAACCCTTCATGAATGAGACCTTATAGTCTATATATAGAATTGCTTTCCTTTTAAAAGGGAATGGCTCAGAGGCTTAGAGCACTGGCCGAGGTTTGGTTCCCACATGATAGCTGACAGTTTTAACTTTTAAGGGACTTGATGGCCTCTGATGGTATTGTACAACATTTCACTTAAAAGGCAAGCAAAATTTTCAAACATTTTTGTCTGTGAGGGTCTCCCAGCAGCCCCAGCTGTCCTGGAACTCACCATATGTAGACCAGGCTGGCCTTGAACTCACAGATAGCAGCCTGCCTCTGCTGTGGGATTAAAGGTGTGTGCCAAGCAAAATTAAAATATTTTAAAATCTTAAAATGTGTCTGACTCGGGTTCAAGAGAATATAATAATTTAAAGTCACTTGGGTTATAGAACACAAGTGGAAGGCATAAATATATCAGCCTAAGTATTTTATACTCTTAGGTCAGTTTAAGTTCTGCTTTGTAAAACTACTGCCCTTTGTGTCAGGAAAGAAACACCTGTTTATTTTAAAATATGCGACAAGGTTTCACTGTGTGACCTGGGACTTGGTATATAGACCAGGCTGGCCTGGAACTCAAGAGATTAACATGTTTCTGCCTCTAAGTGCTGGTATAGTACCATATTACCTTATTCTGATTACTAGCTCAAATCAATAAACCCAACGACTCTACGAAGAACACCAGATAGTTTTTGTTATTTTGTCCATAGTGAATCCAGACCAGCTATGGCTACAGGGAGACCCTGTTTCAAAAAAAGACCGGGAAAAAAAAAAAAAAAAAAAAAGTTTAGAGCCCTATCAGTAGCAGACCTTGCTGTGCATGCCTCTAATTCCAGCACCCTAGTGGCTGAAACAGGATCTGAAACTCCCTTTTAACCAAGGCTAAGGAACTCATTGATCCTCCTGCTTTCGCTTCTTCAGTATTGGGATTACAGGCATGTCCTATTGCACTTGTTCATGTAGTGCTGGTAATTGAACCCAGGGCTTTTGCCTGCTAGGCCAGCACTTTACCTACTGAGCTACACCCCAGCCCCCTCACTGCACTTTAAATTCTGTGGCATTTGACTAAAATCTTTCAAAAGCCAGTTTTTAAAATATTAAAATGAAGGGCCAGGCCTGGTGGCGCACGCCTTTAATCCCAGCACTTGGGAGGCAGAGGCAGGCGGATCTCTGTGAGTTCAAGGCCAGCCTGGTCTACATAGTGAGTACCAGGACAGCTGGAGCTACAGGGAGACCCTGTCGCAAAAAGAACCCCCCCCACCCGAAAAAAAGTTAAAATGAATCAATGAAAGCATTTAAATGTTTTGTCTTTTTAATCTGAATTTAAAACTACCATTTCTGTGAGATACGAGAATTATTTATTAAATTGCTGAGATGTAAAACTTTAATGCTTATCCAGATGCTTTAACTGGTGACTATTTGAATATCCCCCTTTAAATATGCTTCAATCTTGTTATTGTTCATTTCCACATTCAGGTTTTGCATTACTTTGGAGAGCATCTTGTCATCTTTTTTATCTCCTGAAGCGGCAGGCACCTTTGCTGAGAGCTGCTTCTGCTACAATAAAACACTGTTCCGATGGGTGTAGCGTGCTTACTCCATAGCCATTGTTGTAAATATGATCATTAGTCATCTTCAGTTTGGGTGCTGGAAGAACCTGTTAAATTAGTTGTGGAAATTGGCTTTTCAGTTATTTTGATAGAAAAAAAATAACAAAATTACTCTGGACTTTGCCTTAAAAGAGGTGGGGTTTTTTTGTTTGTTTGTTTGGTTTGTGTTTTTTTGAGATAGGGTCTCCCTGTAGTCCCAGCTGTCCTGGAACTCACAGAGGTCTGCCTGCCTTTGCCTCCCAGTCCTGGGACTAAAGGCGTGTACCACCTTAACAGGTTTTTTTAAAGTGATGTGACATGACTCAGTTTCAAACAAATGCATTTTTCTTATTGCATTGATCAATATTACTATAAATGGTTAATGAGAAAAAGTTTAAAGTTGTTTTCCAGGTTTTCTCATAAACTGATAAAAATATTTCCATATGGGAATGCAGTATTAACCTATAGACATCTACATGATCAAACATGAAAACAAATTTCAGATGTGATACAGAAAAATGTAATAGGTCAATAGAATATAGCATGAGTTAATGGGGGTGGGCACAGGTTATTGCTTAGCTAGAATGTTCTTTACAGTAAACACTTTGAAGATTAGTCACTCAGTACTTAGAAATACGTAGAACATAGCCGAGGAACTATTGGCAATGGATAACTACTGAGAGGGAGAGTTGGTTTTCTCTGAAGATGTGACAGGCGGTAGGTTAACCAGACTCCAGTGGATGGACACATATGGACATTTGGGGACACAAACTTGACATCCTTAACATACATGACAAGAGTACATGAAATCCAGCTTGGGGGGGCAATAAAAGGGACAAATATGATCAAAATATACTGTATGAAATCCGTAAAAACTCAATGAAAAATTACATCAAGTGTGTCTCAGGTAAAAGGTTAATTTGAATATAATGCATCAGAGGAGAAATGGAAGGGGACTGTGTTTAATACAATTCAGTCCGGGCTAAGGCTCCAGGTAAGGTTCTACAGGGGTTTTTTGTTGGATTTTATTTTTAAAAGACAGGGTTTAGCTATGTACCTCCGAGTCTTCCTTTGGCTTTCTGGGCTCTGATTACAGGCATGCACCACCGTACCCAGCATGATTCTGCAGTTCTAGCCAACCACTAAGTGATGTCAGTGGTGTACTCTAGTCACTGAGCAGCAGGGATGTGACTCGAGTATGTGTGACCAGCAATATCAGCATCTCCTGGGAACTTAGAAGAAATTCTCAGGCTTCACTCCAGACCCACTAAATTGGTTACTAAGGTGTGCCTCTGTATGAGTGGTTCTAATGCAAGCTAGTATTTTCAAACAACTGAAAAAAATACCTAACAGAAAAATATTTCAAGATAAATCAGATATTCTAAAACTGACCCCACAATATTCTCCTGTACCACTGTCAACCAGTTATCTGATCATGTTAAATCCTGCTGGCTGGGGCATTGGTGGGATGGGAACTCTACTGGCACAGATTGGGCATCTCTGATTTGAAATTCCCAGTTTTTTTTGGGGGGGGGGTCTTTTTGAGACAGGGTTTCCCTGTAGCCACAGCTGGCTTGGATTCTCTGCCTCCCAGACAGCACTGGGATTAAAGATGCCTGCCACCATGCTTGACTAAACATATAATACTTTTTGAGTACCAAATGAAAGTGGAATGAAATTCCACATCATGAAATTTTATTTCCCACAAAATTATTTTAAGTATTGTGTAAAATTACCCTTAGACCATGTGTAAAGGGTATATATAAAAAATAATTTTAGGCTTAAACTTTATTCCCTCTCTCGGATATTATTCACAATAGGAAGCACTCCTGGTCCCAAGTATTTCAGAGAAGGTGTAGTTAGCCAGTTCTGCCTTTAAGTAACTTAAAAATCAGTTTGAGACTACAAAATATATTCCTAAAACAAAGAACTGAAACTCAGAGATCAATGGAAAACATTAACTACACAAACCTACAGAGGGTCTTTATAGAAGCAGAAAGGACTGGGAAGACATTTCATCTGTGAATGGTAACTGTTCATCTTTAAGTCACTTTATATGGCTTTGAAAGTAAAACAAAGTGTTTCTGGTTTTGTTTGAGACACGGTCTTGCTGTATGTATCCAGACTGGCCTCCTCCCTCTTACTCTTACTTCCCTCCCTTCCCCCCCTCTGTCTCTTTCCTTCCCTCCCTTGTTTTCTTTCTTTCTAACTTCTAAAACAAAGTCTCACTATATATCTCTTGCTGGCCTGCTACATGTTATTTAGCCCAGCCTGGCCTGGAATTCACAACCATTCTCTAGCCTCAGCCTCTTGAGTATTGGCATTATAGACATACACATCGCACTTTGCCTTAAAAGTGTTTTTTTTCTTTCTAACTTCTAAAACAAAGTCTCACTATATATCTCTTGCTGGCCTGCTACATGTTATTTAGCCCAGCCTGGCCTGGAATTCACAACCATTCTCTAGCCTCAGCCTCTTGAGTATTGGCATTATAGACATACACATCGCACTTTGCCTTAAAAGTGTTTTTTTCTAGGCAGGGTGTGGTCGCACATGCCTCTAATCCCAGCACTTGAGAGGCCAAGGCTAGCAGATCTCTGTGAGTCCAAGGCTAGCCTGGTCTACATAGCGAATTCAGGCCAGCTGGGGCTACAGGGAGACCCTGTCTCAAAAACACCAAAAAAAGTTTCTTTTTTATTTTTATTTTATGTGAATGTATGTTTTGCCTGCATGTATTTAAGTGCACCATGTGTGTTCTTGGTGCCCTTGGAGACCAGAAGAGGGCATAGGATCCCCTGGAACTGGAATTAAGGATGGGTATTAGAGGCCGTGAAGGCACTGAAACCCAACCCAGGTTTTCTGCAAAAGCAACCAATGCTTTTAACTGCTGAGTCATCTCTCTAGCCCCTCAAAAGTGTTCCTTAACATTTTCTCTGCTTTGTGTGTGTTGTGTGTGTGCCTGCATGTGTGTCTGTGTGTGTGCAGGTTTTGAGATAGCATCTCATATTACCCAGGCTGGCCTCACTATATAGCTGAGGATGATCTTGAACTCCTGAACTTCCTGTCTGTCTCCCTAGTGCTAAGATTACAGACCTGCTCATCCCACTGCCTCTTTAACTTTCCAAAATGTATTATAAATCTAATCAGCAAAACTATTACATAAGAGCAAAGCTGATCTACTTTCTCATATTCAAAATTATGCTGGACCTTGTGGCACAGCCTGTGATCCAGTGACTCAGAAGGCTGATGCAGGGGGATTACAATTCAAGCCTGGGGAGGCGACGGAAGTCCAGGCCAGCCTTGGTAATTTGAGACTGTCTCAAAATAAAAATTAAAACAATGGCTTGGGACATAGCTCAGTGGGAGACTGCTTACCTCATATGCACAAGGGCAATCTCTAGTAACTGAGGTGGGGAGTGGGGAGGTATAGGGCTAAACTTAATTCTCATTTGGTATCATTTAACTGTATTCTCTTATGTGTATGATTCTTTTACAAATCAAAAATACCATTTAAGGTCGGTTGTGATGGTGTACCCTTTAATCCTAGTACTCAGGAAGCAAGAGGATCTCTGTTAAAACCAGGCTAGTCTAGTCTGCATATTGAGTTCTAGGTCATTTGGGGCTACAGAGAGACCCTGTCTCAACAAAGAAAACAAACAAACTTAAAACACAACAAAAATTTTAAATTAACTACTGGAAATTTAATACCTGTAATAGTGTTGCCAACTACAGTTAGATGAGGAAGAGCTGATCTTCCTAAAACAAGGAGCTCTAGATAGGCTGGCTAGATTCAGCGGATGGACTTGCACTGAGTAATGGCTGGGGGCACCAATAACACAGTGGACGGTAACAGGGATGACAGAATATATGGGCTCCAGTGGTGGCGGTGGGGAGGCTACAGGAGGGTGGCATTTGGGATGCGGGTATAAAGATGAATAAGATTGTTTGGGATGTTCTGTATGAAATACACACACAAAAAAAATCAATAAAAAATAAAAATTAAAAAAAGGAGTACACGCAGAAAAAAAAATAGTATTGCCAATCTGACAGGATCTAGAACAGCAAGTGTCCAGACACACCCCTGAGGGATTATTAAATCTCTGGCCAGTTTGTGGAGGATTATGCTGATTAGGCTAATTGAGGTCAGAAGATGCATCCTAAAAGTGGGCATCACCATTTCCTGGGTTTGGGTCCTATATAACAAGAAGGCCAGTGGGCTGGAGATGGCTCAGCAGTTAAGAGTGCTCTTGTAGAGGACCCAGGTTCGATTCCCAGTACCCACATGGCAGCAAACAATCATCTGTAGCTCCAGTTCCAGGGGATCTGATGCCCTCCTTTCCACTGACCTCTGTGGGATCCTGCACAAATGTGATACACATGAATAAACTCAGGCACAAACACAAATATTTTTAAAAGGCTCCCAATTTTTGTATGTATCAAAAATTCATACAATTCTACCTTAAGAACTAAGATAGTACCTTCATGTTAACTCCACCTAAGGTACTTTTTGAACTGTCACTGGTTCTGAGGTTATTACAGTGATGAATTTCATTCCCTTCCAAAATGGCTATGCTCCCAGGATACAGTTCAACACCAGCACCCTGAAATTAAAAGAAAATAAAACAATTTACAAAACACACAAACCCTTCTCCAAAATTTTCTTTTTTCAATATTTTATTATTTTTAATTTTTTGTATGTATGATTATATTGCCTGCATGTATGTAAGTGCACCCATGTCATGCAATGCCCACAGAGGTCAGAAGAGGGCGTTGGATCCCCCAGAACTGGAGTTACGGGTGATTGTTAGCTGCCATGAGGGTGCTGGGAATTGAATCTGGGCCCTCTGCAAGAGTAGCCAGTGCTCTTAATCACTGAGCCATCTCTCCAGCCCCATAATTTGTTTTTTAGTGCTGTGGATTGAACCCAAGGCCTTGCACGTGTTAGGTAAGTACTCTACCATTGAGATACATCCACAGCCTGAACTACAATCCTGCACTAGCAATGTGAGTGCAACTATGTGAAAATATAGGATAACATACATGTGATGGGTAATATTGCCAACTTGACTGGAGACAAGCTGCTGGGCACACCTTTGAGGGATTATCTAGATTAGGTTAAATGAGATGAGAGGATCCCTCCCTGCTGAGGTCTGGGAACACCAGAAGTCATCACATTCTACTTTCTGACGGCAGATACAATGTGATCAGCTGCCACCTCACACTCATTGGCTTCCCAGCCATGATGGACTGTACGCTCCAACTGTAAGCCAAGACAAAGCCTTCCTTTCTTAATTTGCTTTCATCAGAGGTTTTTTTTTTTTTTTTTTTTTTGGTTTTTTTGAGACAGGGTCTCCCTGTAGCCCCAGCTGTCCTGGAACTCACTATGTAGACCAGGCTGGCCTTGAACTCTCTGAGATCTGCCTGCTTCTGCTTCTTGAGTGCTGGGGTTGAAGGCGTGTGCCACCACGCCTGGCTCATCAGAGTATTTTATCACAGCATCAGGGAAAATAACTAATACACTACACAAATTTTTTTTTTTTTTTTACGTTTACTTATTGTGTGTATCAGAGGACAGCTTGCAAGAGTCAGTTCTCTCCTTCTACCCCAGGGTTCCAGGGATTCAATTCTGGTCATCTGGCTTGCTGGTGGCAAGAGCCTTTACTCACTGAGCCATCTCTCCAACCCTGCCTTGTATTTTTTAAAAAACTCAGACTGACCTTGCAATCATAGGAAATTAACAAAAGCACCTTTACCCGCTGAACTACCTTGCCAGCCCTCTTTAATACTGAAAATTGAATATGCATTTTAGTGAATTAGTCCTAGAAGGAAGTTGAGGTCATGTGGCCCATTAGATTCTTCACTCTCCACCCAAATGAGTTCTACAGAAGAAAGGCAAACCTCTAGTAGCTAAATGCAGTGATACATAGAGGATGCCTTTAAGAACAGTGATGCATAGGTTTCCTCACTCTAGTGGCAATTAAGAAAATGTCATTCTAGCTGGGCATCGTGGTACACACCTTTAGTCCCAGCATTCAGGAGGCAGAGGTAGGTGGAGCTCTGTGAGTTCCAGGCCAGCCTGGTCTACATAGTGAGTTCCAGGCCAGCCAGTGAGACCCTGTCTCAAAAAAAAAAAAAAAAAAAAAAAAAAAAAAGTGTTCATTTTCTTCCTTTTTATCCTTTTCTGAGTTTTCCTACGTAATGATTTTAGTGATTATCTGGCCTTGAACTCTGGCCGCCTGCCTTTGCCTCTCAAGTGCTGGGATTAAAGGCAAGCGCCACCATGCCCGGCCCCTGATACCTTTTTTTTAGACACTGATATCTAAGTTCGATTTTGAGACAGGGTCTCATGTAGCTCAGGCTCCCCTCAGACTCTTATGGGGCCCCAACCAAGACTGTCTTATGTACTGTCCTGTAGTACCCGATTACTAGAGGAGGCCCTCTAGTTGCTGTTTTGGTTGACATTGCTGGCCTCTGTCTGGGCAAGGGATATGAGAATGACAAGTTTAACTCTTCTCCCATCCCCAGACCTCAGACTTGAATGTCACTGCAACTGTGAGCATGTAAAGGAGTGTCTCCTTGCACTGGCAATTAGAGCTACAGTGCGGGTAAATTAGAGACTGTATGGTCTTAATTTTCTTGGTATCACTTGTATTGTCTTTTGGGTTGAAGTGAAATCTCATTGTAGCAAAGACATTTCTGTTTATTCCATATTATGTTGATTTTCACTCGTTTCTGTTTATAAATATTATTTATTAAAAAAAAAACAACAAATCCAGGCATGGTGGCATATGCCTTTGATCTCAGCACTCAGGAGGCAGAGGCAGGCAGATCTCTGTGAGTTCCAGGCCAACCTGGTCTACATAGTGAGTTCCAGGCCAGCTGGGGCTACAGGGAGACCTTGTTTCAAAGAGACAAAAAACAAACAAACAAACAAAAAACAACCCAAACTCATGTGTAGCCAAGGATGACCTTAAAATCCTGACCCTTCTGTTTCCTGTGCTGGGATCACAGGACACCACCTTGCCTGGCCAAAGATTTCTTTTTTTTTTTTTCTTTTTTTTTTTGGTCTTTTTAGAGACAGGGTCTCCCTGTAGCCACAGCTGGTCTGAAATCACTACATAGTCCAGGCTGGCCTTGAACTCACAGATAGCGGCCTGCCTCTGCCTCCCAAGTGCTGGGATTAAAGACGTGCACCACCATGCAATGATTTCTAATTAAAAAAGAATTACAACTAAAGTGCTCACTTTGGGTGTATATATACTAAAATTGGAGTAATATGAAGAAAATTAGCAGGCCCCACACAACGATGACCCACATTTGTGAATAGTTCCACGCTATTTGACATACCTATGAAAATGTTGTCATGAAACCATTCCACTTGGTAGAACTTTTAAGAATTACACTTTAAGGCCAGGCTTGGCAGTACATGCCTTTAATCACAGCACTTGGGAGGCAGAGGTAGGCAGATCTCTGATTTTGAGGTAAACCTTGTCTCAAAAAGACCAGGAAAAAAAAAAAATGTTTTAGCCTGCAGAATTTTTTTAGGGGAGGTGGAGTCTACAGATTTATCAGTATTCACAACTGTGTAGGTATGTGCAAAATCCAGAAGAGGGTGTTGGCTCTCTTGGAGCTGGAGTTATATAGATGGTTCTGGTGCTGGGAACTGAACTCAAGTCAGATCCTCTACAAGAGCAATACACTCTCTTAACCAGAGCCATTTCTCTAGCCCCATGTCTCCTACTTTCTAAGTTGAATTATTATAGTTCCATGGACAAGAAACTGGGGAAGGCTCAGTGGATAAAGCACTTATCAGGCGAACATGAGAGCCTGAGTTTGAATCCTCAGAACCTATGTAAAAACCAGGCACAGTAGCATGTGTCTGTAATCCTAGCACTTCTATAGTGATATAGGAGACAGAGATAGGCGAATCAGAGCTGAAGGGCATTTAGCCTGGGAGTCCCAGCAGCAGCAGCAAACAACAATCTCCAGAGCCCACAGAAGGGGAAAACCACCTACTGAAAGTTGCCCTGTGTACTCACACACATACTCACACACATGCACACACAAGTCATACACACTCACAAGCACATACACACACAACCAATAATAACAATGAAAAAAATTTAATTAAAACAAAAATAGAGAGCCTGTCTCAAACAAGATGGAAGGTGAGGACTCACACCCAGTGCTGTCCTCTGACCTCCACACACTCCATAATACAAGCATGCCACATTCACACACATGGCACACACAAAGAAACTATTATCTTTTAAGTTATGATCACTCCAAGTTGGTGCCTATAGTCATGTAAAGCTATACTTTTTATAAAATGAAGTACCTGGGCGCCAGTTATTTCACTGTCTGTGACTGTCAGTGAAGCCCGGGTGAGAACACACACTCCTGTTCCTTCACATTTTAACAGGCAGTTTTCTAGAGTCAAGTGACCAGACTCTACCACCACAATCCCATCAACTGTCCCTTGTTGTATCAAAGATAGTTGCATTAGTTTCACATTATCAGCTTTGGATACCACGAAACTGTCATGAGAAGGTTCAGAGGTAATCATAATTTCTTCTCTCTTTCCAACTCCTGATGGATATGGACAAAATCAAATTAGTAATCCA